TTTTCTTCTTCTTCTTCTTCTTCTTCTTCTTCTTCTTCTTCTTCTTCTTCTTCTTCTTCTTCTTCTTCTTCTTCTTCTTCTTCTTTTGGTAATTTGTGTGTTTATACTTACACATGGACCCTTCCCCTATTCTTTTTTTTTTAATTAAAAAATTTTTTATTCATTTTACATACCAATCACAGATCCCTCTCTTCCCTCTCCCCCCCTCCAGCCTTTCCCCCACCCCCTCATTCCCTCCTACAAGAAGGTAAGGCCTCCCACGGGGAGTCAGCAGAGCCTGGTACATTCAGTAGAGGCAGGTCCAAGCCCCTCCCTCCTGCATCAAGGCTGTGCAAGGTGTCCCACCACAGGTAATGGGCTCCAGAAAGCCAGCTCATGCACCAGGGATGGATCCTGATCCTACTGCCCGGGGCCCCTTAAGAAGATCAAGCTACACAACTGTCTCACTTAGGCAGAGGGCCTAGTCCAGTCCTGTGGAGGCTCCACAGGTGTTGGTCTAAAGTTCATGAGTTCCCACTAGTTTGGCTTGACTAGGTTGACTCTGTAGGTTTCCCCATCATGATCTTGATGCCCCTTGCTCATAGAATCTGTCTCCCCCATTCTTAGCTTTTGGGATCTCTTTTATCGAGATGACTTTAGTTGGGAATAACAGGAAGCCATTGTTCAAAGTGGCTTAAACAAGGAGGAAATCTATTATCTCCCATGACAAGAAGTCCAGAGACAGAGTGTCTCCTTGCATCAGGATTATGAGTCCTTTTATCTGCAACCTCCTGGGTATTGCCCTAGGGCTGGCAAGAACCCACAGCAACTCTAAATGTCATATCCTGGTATCTAGAAAAAGAAAGGGACTAATTACCTTTTTGATGTGTCCCTTGAGAGCAAGGAAAATATTCTCAGAAGCCCTTGGTAATAATGCTCTTGTCACAGTGTATTGATCAGTCAGACCATACTTAAAGCATGGTTTACAAAGGAGACCAAGATGACCGACCATAGCACACTTAATTCTTTCAAAGCAGAATGACTCTTGAGACTGAAACCCTTGCCCACTCTTTGTCCATCCTAGAAGCCTCACTAAGCTTTACCCATTTGTTTGTTTGTTGTTTGTCTTGTAACAGCTTTGACTTATTAATCATATATTTTACCTTTTCCTTGCTTTCAAACATGCTATTTTCTACTTTATTTAGATTTATATATTATTTATTTCTGAATTTCTTATTTTCAAACAAATTAATAAAAGACTGTAACTTTTCCTCTACTGCTCTTTTGCCCATAGACATTTGACTTCTATATGCATGTCTGCCAGTGTTCTTTCTAAACAATTTATAATTTTAGCTTTATTTTCTTTATTTTTTATTTTTTATTTTTTTGGTTTTTCGAGATAGGGTTTCTCTGTGTAGCTGTCCTGGAACTCCTTTTGTAGACTAGGCTAGCCTCAAACTCACAGAGATCCACCTGCCTCTGCTTCCCGAGTGCTGGGATTAAAGGCATATGCCACCACTGCCCGGCTATTTTATTTTTTTAAGATTTATTTTTATTTGAGTGTGGTATTTTTGTCAACTTGACACAAGCCAGGGTCATCTGAGAAGAGGGAACTGAAAACACTTCCATTAGATTGCCTGTAGGCATTTTCTAGATTAATGACTGGTACGGGAAGGTCCAGGACGCTGTGGGCAGTGCCGCCTTTCACCCCTAGGCAGGTGGTCCTGGGCGGTATAAGAAAGCAGGCTGAGCAAGGCACAGGGAGCAATCGGTAAACAGCATTCCTCCATGGCCTCTGCTTCAGTTCCTGCCTCGAGTTCCTGCCCTGACTTCTCTTCATGAGGAACTGTAAGCTGTAATAAATCCTTCCCAAGTTGCTTTTAATCATGGTATTTTATCACAGCAATAGAAAGAAAACTCTGTGTGTGTGTGTGTGTGTGTGTGTGTGTGTGTGTGTGTGTGTGTGTGTGTGTGTGCTTGAAGCTGGAGTTACAGGAGGTTGTGAGTTTCCCTGAACTCAGGTCCTCTGAAAGAGCAGCATGTGTTCATAACAGCTTAACCATCTCTCCAGCCCCTTCACTTCCTTCTTAACCAAAGGTTTATTTAGGAGGCTTGTTGTGTTTATGTTGAGCACCACCTTTTTGATTGTCTACTTTTATTACACAATGGTCAGCAGGCATGGCCTGTCTGACTTTTCTGCATGAAATCTCTAAGTACACGAGAGAAGACAATGCTCTCACTGGAAAAAGAATTTCTATGTTGCAATGCTCCTACTACGTTTGAGCTGCCTCACAGGCCAGGCATATCACAAGACTGTTTGGACTTCCCTCTTTCCCCACATCCCCTCAGTCCCACACCCTGCATGGAACCATCTTGAACTTTTTCAACCGTGTCTTCTGAGAATTTACTTCCATATTTCCAAACAATATACTGTGTTGCTGTTCCCCGTTTGTGTTTTCAATATTCATCTCATCCATGGCTTCTTGTCCCGCTAGGCTTACTTGCTTCCCACATTCCCATCAAATACTTTCACGTAGCCTTGTCACAATTTGACGATCACTGTTTCTTCCGGACACATTTGTCTGATTACATTTCCTCTCTTGAACAATCTTCTTCCCTTCCAGAGACAGTCAGGTTTCATTTTTGTCATTTTGTAGTTGAATATGTGTCTATTATTAGCTTTTTCCTAATACTGAAAAAGAAACACCAGAAAGCAACTTACTGCTGTTTTCCATATGGTGAAATGCATGGGGTATTTTATCATTTCTTTTTCTTCAACACAATGTCCCTCCTCAACACTAATTTGGATGCTTCATCTCTAGGGCTCCTGGGACTTCTTGTCACTGGCCTTTTGCACTAAATCCCTTTTATTCCAAGTCTTGTTTCCTTTCTTGGTTTATTATATTCTTGATTGGCTAAAGTATGCTTTCCAGGGGCATGGCAGGAAAGGGTGCATGGGGAGCGGAACAGACACCACTGATGCCTACTTCACAGCATGCAGCTTACCTCAGTTCATCTGCAGCTGCTGCCTGGTTCACAGTTTACTGAGAATTAAACTGTGGCAGGGACCATTAGTCACCTGCAAACAGTTGCTCTGAGTAGGAAGATCCTTAAGAATTTAATTTCTCCTATACAGACTTTACAACTCCCTCCTCTGTGGGGCTGCCTTCCAGGAGACAAGGTTTCGTATCATAACCAGGCTGCTCTAGAACTCACTATGTAGACCAGGCTAGCTTCCAAGGCATGATAATCATCCTGCTTTAGCCTCTCAAGTGCTGGCAAGTGCCACCATGTCTGGTTGCTTTGGATTTTTTCATTGTATTCCCGTTGTTTCCTTTCTATTTTATACATCTGAATA